AATATTTAATTAATGTATACAGATACGTTGTGTGTGTGCATTAATTTTTATTTAAAAAGAAGAATATGGTCAAGGAAAAATATAATATACATACTATATATATTGGTCGTTAGGCACATAATGTTCTAAAGTTTGTCATACATCAGCCTTGCTTCCGTATTATTATACGTCGCGCGATAAGATTTAACGATTGAAATGTAATAAGAGATTAATGCCGGAAGTAAGAAATAAAAATGAGAAATCGTAAAGAGCAGTAAAGTGATTTCGTAATGATACATTGCGTGACTCGTCTGATGGTGTCTAATTTCTATAACGAAAGTCTCCATTATTAAAGCAAAAATTCAAAAGTGACAATGTAACGCATTAGTGCGATTTCATAATGTTGCAACATAAAATAAAAAAAATATTGAAATTATATTCATTTTAACAAGAAATTTTATTATTTAAAATAAAAGACATATTAAACAGAAATATAAAAAAAGAAATATTAAAAGAAGAAAGAAGAATATTTAAAAAAATATTACACAAGAGTATATACTCGTATATTAAAATTATACTCTACCTAAAACGAAATTATATCTTAAACAAAATATAATATTTAAATTGAAAATTAAAATTATCACAGCTAATTGAAATTATAATCTTCTCACAGCATAACTTAGATGAGCAGTTCTAAATGAACATAATTATCGGATAAGACGCATAAATTATGTATATGTGCCTAATTAAAATCTTATATCAAAATGAGGTCAAAAGTTCATTTTCTCATTTTTACAAAATTGCCAGTTGCGTTTAATTTATTTCATAACGAGAATTTCTGGATCGTTATCGAATTCGTACACGGAGTACTTGTTAAATCAGACTATAAGAAATTAATATTTTGTATGTCTTATGCACTTTGATATCTATAAAAAAAAGTTAAATATATTACGTAGAAGATGAGGAGGACGTACTAGATTGAACTAGAAAATCCGGTTATTAGATTTTCCGACTGCACACAGTGGGCAAAAAGTCGCTTTTTGTAATAAAAAAACGGTTGAATTCTTTATCAATTGCAATAAATTAAAAAAAAATGCTTATTTACTCATTTACTATACGAAAATTTACACGCTTTTTAATATTGTAATTTGTTAATTAACCAAAATTGTAAATTTATACTAACTTTTTGGCAAACATTTCTTAGTGTTCATAATTCCTTCAATCTTAATATTTAAGGATTTCCGGGGGTGCTGATTACGAAATCGTCACTTAAATTTCAAAATTCAAAATGGCGGATCCAATATGGCGACTGCGAACTGGAAATGTAAAGACAAATTTCGTAAAATTTCATATATAATCCATCTTAACGAGATATATAGTAGTTGTAATTATTAAAGGCAATAATATTAATATAAAGTAATAAAGAATACACAAAACACACTTCACACTTTTAAATCACCTTCCAAATGCGTTATACTCAGAACTAAAAGATGTGGATCTAACAAGCTTATAGTTCTGTTTTTGTTTCTTTTTCATAGAATAGGAATACATAAACGCGATTATCTTTGATTAACATAAATCATTATCATTAACAATAATTTAGAGAACATATTAAACAACAAACGGCAAATTTTTTTTGTATAAATACGAAATCCTGAATACGAAATCCTACTAGATAGAATCGTATGAAAGTTGCCAAAAGGATTCTCGTATCTGGAATAATTCAGTTTGATGCAATTTGATCAGAAGCGATCCAATGGCGGGTGTAAAAGCGTTAATGCTCGTACGTGACATGGGGAGGGGGACACGTATATATATGGTGACGTTTGCTACTCTGACTTAATAGTTCACACATAATAAATCAGAGAACCTTTTAAAGAGCATGTTAATCGTTTAAGCTCATCAAAAGAAACGTTTTTTTTTCGGTCGCCCGTTGAGAATTCTCCCTCATTGTTGATCGGAAATACGATCGAAATGAGATACTTGTCGATGACGATCTGCGTCCTCGTGACATTCGCGCTGCTGAAATCTATCTGTGGACATCCTGCGACTGACAACAGCAGGTAATCATTTATTCTATACGTGTATGTTCGCAAAAATATCAATTGATTGTGGAAAAGTCGAGAAATGGAAATTTTGGTGTACACAGTCTTATTTCAATTCATTTCACGATAGAATTGGACGATAGACTTTGGAAACGTCCTTTATAGAAAAATACATTCTTGGCGATCCGAAATAACACCTAATTGAGTGTTAACTCCAAAATAAACTTCCAACTTGAGAATTAACACTCAATTTTATCATTTATTTCGGACTGCCAAGAGTGTACTTTTTCATAAGGATTTTAACTCTCACGCAAAATTTTCTTACGTACATACGTTACAGAACAATATTATAAATATATTGGACATTATTATCCTGGCGATGGTTCTTTTCAGCATAAATAGACCGATTGTTTTATAATAAAAGATACGTCTCTAATAAATTATATTTTTTTAATAAGAGGTAAAAACTGATATTTTTAAATATACTATCTTATTTGATAGCTCATTTTTGTTTTTTTTTTCTATTTTATATAAGGTCGATCTTGAATATGTTGGAATCACGTGTTTCAAAGCTAGAAGCTATCTCAGAACCAAAAGCGATCTCGACGCTCATTCAGCAGAAAAATTTATCGATTCCGAGTAAATCGTGAGTTGATTTAAATCCATTTTCTTTCTCTTTTTTTTTCAATTACGTTGAATCCACCACACAATCGGCTGCATGTTTACAGACGACAAAGACGCTTGTCGGATCAAAGACTAGCTGAGCTGGAGACGCTAATGAGTTTGTCAAAACTTTCTCGATCGTTTGTTACAACATCTGGACATGGACAACCAGATCCAAGAATAATGTAAGAAGAATCTAATTTAAAAAATCCTACACACATATAATCGATATAGAAGAAAGAGAAAGAGAGATAAAGAGAGAATATAGAAACAATAAGGATTAATATATTTATGATATTAATTTATATATTCTTTTTATACTTCATATTTTAATTTGACAAGCTATACACATGTGATAATTTTTCGAATTTGTGTATAACTAATCGACGATGTTAATTACAGTGGCCGGCGAAGACGGTTCACGATGAATCAGATTACTCCGAGTTAATGTATCTATTAAAGCGAAACATATCGGGAATCGCGTGTATCCTCTAATTAGGTAAATATTTTATTCTATTATTACGGATTACACAAGAACTTTGCTCGCAGAAGATTGCGAATCTTTTTTGTATAATCTGTGTTAATAAAATGTCTTCGGTGGAAAAATGCGAAAAATCACATCTTTTTGCGAAATTAGCGATGCGTAAATTATAGCTTGATAATTGCGTGTATCGTAAATTCGAAAGAGTCATTAATATTAACATAAGTGTATACTCCGAGAATAACGCAAGGCTATCGCTGTCACTGTATCAGTGACACGTCGTCGCAACGGTCGTTCGATTCACGAGCGGCGGCGCTCGTGCCGTTCCTTATCACTGCGCACGCGACATTTCGCAATTATTTCTATTTGTACTAAAAAAAAATAATGAGCTGCGCTGATTACGTTCTGAGATAGAGGAGAGAGAAAGATTAGAATTTTTATATTTTACATTAACAATTTTTAGTGTCTAACCTCGTGAAAGCTTCATGCCTATCATTTAATGAATATTTACGATAATTTATATGCTTTTGATGTACATATATTACAGTTTATTTTATTATATTTTCAGTTGAGTAGACTGATAGCGTCGTTCGAAAAATGAAAGCGTGCATTTCGTATCACGATGAATGAGCCTGGTATGTAAAAGAGAACATTCTTTGATACATTTCATTGTTTTACGAAACGATTACTTTAGAAGTTAGCAAAATTACAAAACGAAAATTATTATATAACGACTGGGGTAGGGATGTATGAAAAATTACAGATTTCTTAGATCCAAGTCTGTTGATATTATATAATTTAATCGAATATATTATATATATTATTTATATGTATATATTATATATTATATACTATATACATTATATATTATGTATTATTTATTACTTATTATTTATTATATATTATACATTATACACAGTGTGTTTCAAAATTTAAGTATTATAGCTTTGCAGAAAAGTAGATTGAAGTTAACCAAGTAAGCGCTCTAATGAATGTGGCGCTCAAGACCGGCGCGCGTTTCTCGCTCACTTGTACCTAATCCTTAGTTACACTGTTAGAAATGTTTCCTTTATATGTAAATCGAGCTCGTGGTTATAAACAAAATTAAAAGTAACGAATGATTTAATTGAAAATTAAGTTACAGTAGTTACTTAAATGTAATGAACATATACATTATTGGGTCAATTCTAAGCAGAATCGTAAGACTCGTATAACGTGTTCTCGTAAAACTTGTAAGAACTTATGACTACTATTCTAATTTTATGCGTATGTATTGCGTAAGAAGTATGATTATTCGTAAATACGAATTCTTGTAAATTTTATGTTTAGTAAGAAGCCTGTCTGTAAAAATATTATATATAAGGTATAAGCACTTAAAAATTCTTATAAGTCTTACAGGAATATGTTACAAGTTTTACGATTCTGCTTAAAATTTAGGCATAAATTTCATAAAATTTAGACATAAATTTCATAAAATTTTATGAAAAGTACATTAATATGTAATATATATAATTATACTTTTCAGTTCTAAATACATTAAATTTAATATAATGTCATGAAATTAAGTTCAAATTGTGTAACTTAAAAGTATATTAAATTTCATGAGATTTTTAACAGTGTAGTATTCATAAATAATGTCTTAAGACGCTGATATGGCTATGGTATGATTATAGTTTACAATAGTTTAAGACTATATAGTCTCAGATGTAAAAATCAGTTATAAATGTTGGACATTAATCTTCTTCCATTAATCTTCTTTTCTTTATTGTATACTTAAAAAATGAAAAATTAGCAAAATGAATATTTTGCTTTCTTTTTTTACGTAATAAATAACAAACAAAAGAATTGTCTAATTCGTAGATCCATTTGAAAGTAATGACAAATCAAATAAATAGTAATATGCTTGGCAAGCTTTGTTAAACTTTTTATTTTTCGATCTAAATACATATCGCATAATTGCAAATGAGTCATACGATATGACTAAGTTAAATAATATATCACTAAACTCAAAGAATAGTTCACTAATTAAATGAATAAGTAATCCTTAAACGCTGAATTTATTTTGAAATTGTGATTAAAAATAGAGTTAAATTATATTCGAGTTAAGAGTTAATTCTCCCTTATTATAAAAAATACATACTAAAGGCTCTTGTTCAAAATTATTAACTTTCAATATATCTACTAATTATATAATTACATAAAATCTGAATAACAATTGTTTCAATGTTTTTTAATTTTTTTACATATTTTTAAAGCAATTATCTACAAAAAGTATAAAAAAAATTTATAAAAATTGTATAAAAATAAAAATTGTTTCAACATAAAAAAAAATAGATTTACATTTTTTAAAATATCATTTTAAAATTATCTTTCTAACATGTATAAATAATCTTTAAAAATATTATTAAAAATATTTTAATTTTTGTTGCTATTTGGATTGCTGATCTTTTTAACAACGAAACAAAACTATATGGCTATTTCGGTAAGTATTTTTATTAAAGTGATGTTTTGCTTATTTAATTCATTTACTGTAGAACAAATTATTACCTAATTTATAAATTTATTTATTAGAATATGCAGAAATTTTCAACAATCGATCAGTCAACCATCAGTCAGTCAACGTTTGCAAGCAATTTCAGTTCCTCTATAAAATATCGTCTGGCCTCATCTAATTATTGTATAATTTTTATTCCATCTCTATTATTGTCTTCATCTTTTTAACAACACTATTGGATTTGTAATATCTGAAGATGGTTCAATTTCGACCGAAACATGTAATATTGTTTCAAATTTGAATTTATAGAGTATAGTATATTGCAAGGTTCACGAAACGTTGGCATTTCAAGAATGGATTTGGACACGGAGAAAACCCACGAAACGCATAACTTTTATATAGTATAATATATTGTATATTTTTTTGTTTATTGTTTATTATTACATTTAAATTTTATAATTAACTCTTACATGACCTTTCTAATTTTCTATTATTTTAAAACAACGTATATGACTCGCGCGCTTGTCATACGATTTAAAATGATTGCAAATGATTAAGTTCTAATATAAATAAAGTGAAATAAAAAAGTAATAAGTGATAGTAAGTAATTACGAATAGATAATTTATTATTTATTATGCATGAAACTGAGTTTTACTGTCATAGCAGACATATTGAAACAAAATCCATCAAAAAATGATGGATTAAAAGGTCAAGTTTTGATTGGCTGCAGCAATTAAATGCTCAAGAACACACCTTATCTACTCATGAAAAAAAGATAGAAATTTAAACAAACAAAAACGTTTTTACAGAAAGCGCAATGTTATTTTCATGTAAAGTCGTGGACAAAACGATTGCAAAACTTTTTTTTTGATGGTTTCATAACTCAGCCTTGCTCGTAGAGAGGTTAAATTATGATGAAAATATACAGATGAAGCATTCCCGTGGTTGCCCAGTAAGAACGTGAATTTGGGATGAAATTTGTTTTCAGTCAAAATCAGTGAAGGAAATGGAGGCACTTAAATGGGATGTTTTTACCGCACCTATTCACCAAATGCTGTTCCTTCAGAGTTCAGGGCACCTATCATGGAACAAAAACCGAATGGATTCTGATCAATTCATTCAATTATTATTTAATTATTCCCGAGATTTCTATTGTATTTTCTGGAGAAAACGGAGTAATTCCAATCGGAATCCATTCCGACTTTATTCCATGATAGATGCAGATTACCATTTGTTTTGATCGATGCAGCATGGTCTTTCTGAGCAACACTTTCGAAGATATCAAAAAATGATTCGATGACTGGATCGCCTTGAAAGAACCTGAATTTTTTTACCGCGGAATTCATTTGTTACTCGAAAAATAGGAAAAGGTTGTAGCTTTCGATAGACAATATTGAATAAAATATCAGGTAACTTTTTGATGAAATAAACATAAATTTTTGTAGCAAAAAACGAGAATTAATTTAAGCATTTAATAGGTAATTAGGAGTCGCGGCAAGCCGCGCAAATATATAAATATAAAACATAGCCATATTGTAATTTCTCTCTGTATATCTCTTTGACTGATTTCTTACTCGATTTAACAAAACAAATGTTATCATAGCCAATCCAATCTAATGGCGCAACATCCCAAGTCGGGACCAGGCCTACCTCTCGTACGTATATCTGTGATGCGTACGCAGATTGTACACAGAGCGCACGAGCGTGACGTAGTAGATATCACACGAGACTACTATGCCAGAGATCCCGGGCATTCGTGATTCCAGGCAGATTCAAGAAGTTTTTCACGCGCTCATAATTCCTCTTCGGTGGTCTGTGGCAAACCATCAAGAGTATCTATTGCCAAGAAAACCTCTTAAAAACTGCCGTTCGGAACCGGCGTAAAATTGTAAGTCCCGTATGTTTCTGTTATCATAGCCATCAACATTATATTCGCAGTCTCTATAATAAAAATGACTTAATTATTACCGAAAATGGTTAAATTTTAATTAAAAATAGACAATTAAAAAACAAAGTAGAAAAATGTTTTTAATATGTTGCAAAATTTAGTTTTATAATTAAAATTATATATAAATCAAAAAACAAAAATATTGTTTCTTATTTAAATATAATAAAAATATTTATTACATACGTTAGTTCTCGATATTTCTTCAATTGATTTTAGTAAAATGTTTCCGTCAGAAAATCTTTTCATTTTTGTGTTATTACTATATATCACTATAATAATCTATATACATACATTACAACCTTCTTCTTTACTGACTTATTATTGTGCATAACTTTATTTTATATGCAAATCATTACATATTATCGCATCTTATACGAAATATACAATTTTTTATCATATGTGTATATACAGATAGATTTATAAATAATATTTGATTCGCATTCAATATAAGTTTGAATGTTTCAAAAACTTATCATTTACATCATTGTTGCATTGAAAATC